AAATAACTTCTGTTACTGTTGCTGCATCAGTTGTTGTGGCTGTTGTAGTAGCTGTAGGCCTGACTGTTGTTGTTGGGTCGTGGTGGTGACTGCTGACCGGTGACTGGCACACAATGTCCCCTTTGTTTTAATGCTGGCTGGTTACTGTTGCTGACCTGTAAATAAAGTTCCTGTCAATTTTTAAACCCTTTTCGCATTCTGTGTATCCTTGTAACAGGTAAATTTTGTTACCATCTCATAAGCTGGTAACAAAGTATTGCCCCGTGAAATATGCAATGCCAGAATTTGCACAATTCTTCATAGCTGAATTGCTGAATATTTTAACTGCATTACCAACGTTCCTAGAATCGCGGTGACAAGAACTGGTAACATTTTTTTGGTAATGAAATTTTCCGGTTACAAAATCTTCGGTAACGTGCAGAATATACCGGTTATTGGCAGTCTGATTGCTAACTACCGCAGTTTCATCGCAAGACGTGAATCAGTGCAATGTATTTAAATTCCGATAACTAACTCGATGAAAGCTATACACCTTCACGCATTTTACTAAGAGCTGGCTCGAACTTCACCTCCTGGCAGGATCGCCAATATATCGTATAATATAATAGTGATATTCATCTAAACCGATAACTTTATCAAGCAGATAATCTTATAAGTTTATCAAGAATGATAGAATACAAGATTGCGCCGTCCTGGCCGTTGACATTTGTGTACCACAAGTAAACAAAGAATAGAGACAAAAGTAGAACGAGTTGAAACTGTCAAAACAGTTCACTTTACAGCGAAAAACGTGTTTTAATTTTGATCAATGCGAAAATATTGCATTTTTCATCTAATCTATTGGAGAATAGTGAACGTTTTAGTGCACTTCATGCTTTGCAATTAAGGCTGCTGCAGCAAACGTTCTAGTGCACTCCATGCTTTGCAATTAAGGCTGCTGCAGCAAACGTTTTAGTGTACTCCATTGCTTTGCAATTAAGGCTGGTGCAGCAAACTGCGCCAGCATCTGAGTGGGATTGATTAGTTAACTTGCTAAAGGAGGCTGCTTGGAGCAGAAGCGATATGACTCTGATAAAATGCTGTCAATATAATAATAAAAAAAACATTTCGGGAACGGCTTTGCCGCGCCCTATATACACAAAATGCAGCGATTCGTCGCAGCGCTACACTTGCATCTACGCATAATGAGATGGGGCACCATGGTGCACTTCATGGAAGGATAACAGCGCATGCATATGAAGCTGGTATCCAAATTGAATGGCTTATCTTCTTGCCCGTAGAATTCCACCCACTTTCTCGCCACGGCATCGTTGCGAGAAAAGGAAAAAAGCTGCATTTCGTGGCACTACCTTCACGGCTGTCGCAATTTAATACACGGCACTTCATTTTATCAGTTTTTACACAATCTTCAACTGAAAAATCACTAACGAATTGCAAATTAACACGATTTAAACCGATTTTTCACTAATAATTCAAATTTCTCTATGCCACTGATTTGTAAACAAAAGTTTATTTACGAGTTACCACAACTGTCAAAATCGGCAAAACCAAAGTAGCGGTACCTCTGACGGCGCCACCTTTGTTTCGCTACACCGTGTAAGTTTATGCACTCTGTTACACGAACGACCCACACTCTCTTTTCGCTTACACATGCGACAATAGTCGTGTTTTCTTTGGTTATAAAGCGGAGTGTCACTAACTTTATACTACTAGCACGGGGATAAAGAAATTATAGAAACTACCTCACTAAATTGGAAAAAATTATATTTACGAGATATCTATTTAAATAAATGTACATATAACATAAAGGCTATTTATTTGAAGCAAGTTATAAGAAACAATGGCAGAATGTCTGTTTGTGTATGAATTCATTTGTCACGGCTACCAAACT